GCTCAGATGATCATTGATTGAAATTACACACATGACTGAGGAAGAGGGTTTTTTTCTACCATTGTCTCACATAGCTGAGACCCCCCCAGTGAGCGCGCCCAGCCTGCTGCTGCCCTCTGGTGTCCAGACCGTGAAGGTGTTGCTGAAAGGAGAGACCCTGGAGCTTGAGTGTATACCAGGAGGATTGTGAGTGTACTTTCCCACATTTTCATGTTCTCACTGCATCCGGTTTGCTGTCTCATTCTTATTCTTTACATGTCATTATTTTTTTTATCATAGCCCCACTCCCAGAATAACATGGATGAAAATGGGAGAAAGTCTGACTGGTCGAATAGCACTGAGTAACTTCAATAAGGTGCTGACCATTAATGCGGTAGACGAGAAGGATGAGGGGAAATACATGTGCACAGCTGAAAACTCTGCTGGAAGAGCTGTCCACTACTTTGATGTAGTAGTGAGAGGTTAGTCAAGGTCTTGTTTGAACTATTATTTTATTTAAATGAAAAATACGTTTTTTTGGATGAGACCAGCATGACTCTTCTTGACATTATCCAGAGCCACCAGCATGGCTGACGGAGCCTCCGGAGAGCCAACTGTCAACAATCGGGTCAAATGTTTCTATCAAGTGCTCTGTCAGTGGAAAACCACCTCCAGAAATACTGTGGATGAAGAATGGAGAAAAATTAAAAGGTGAGAAAGAATGATTTTGACAATGGTTGTACTCATCTTTTGCCATTTGGCAGGCAGCTCTGCTGACCCTTCAGCCTGAGAACCTGGAGTTCAGTTTTCTAATCACTAACTGAAATACACACTGAAACCTTTTGATTCAAAGTTGACTTTTCATATGACCACAGAATGTGTCAAATTTTGTTTGATTATTTCCTTTGAATTTCATGCCTATCTCTGGAATTCACTTGTTCCACAGCTCAAAGTCTGGACCTTGCAATGTCCTTCTGACAGTATTTGTTTTTGTATAATATGTCTGGATTTCTCGATCATTTCAAAACCCGCACTTATTTTCCTTGCAGTCTCAGCCTGCTACTTGTGGCAAGCGGCCACATCAGAGAGGGAGGAAAAAAAGAGAATATTTATTTTTGTAATTTTGGAAAAGAACATAACTTTAATTGTAGTCATGCAAGGTCCCCAATTCCAGAGCATGATGTCTGTGTATAGTGACAATAAGGGAACTTATATCTTTCTCTTTACTTTTTGAATGTGTTTTGTTAGATGACCTTCTGAACAACAGGCGGGTGCTTGATGACACCATGGAGATTCAGAAAGCCAGACCAGAGGACAGCGGAGTCTATCAGTGTGAAGCCTTTAACGAGCATGGCCGCATTCTGGCCAACACGAACATCATGGTTATGAGTGAGTACGATTACAAGCCAGCTAAATCACTAATTACGGCAGGAAAGCAGTGGTTCTTCAATCCTTTATCCACAGGTCAGGGAAGAGTCTGAGATGGAGAATACTACATCACTCTGTTCATCTCTTCTGTTGTCTGGAGTACAGTACAAGAACTTCCAAATGTCGTGTTACATAGAATAGATGCTGACTGATTTGCAAACAGTTTTTATGAAATAATAACAAAGCCAATAGATTAAATCTCTTTTTGAATATATGATGAATTTCTTAACACTGAACAAAATGGGATTTAAATTACAGCTGTTTCCTAAATTTCAATTAGCTTATAAACTGACTCTGAAAAAAGAAATGATTCCATTAGATTACATTGGCCACACTTAAATAATATGACAAAATACTGTTCTTCATAAACTTTAAGCCAGGGATTTTCTTTTTTTTTAGACACGGCCCCCCGCATACTATCAAAGGACCTCCAAGAGTACGGTGTGATACTGGGACAAGACATCGTTGTGAACTGCAGTGTTTTCAGCTCTCCACCAGCCCACATCTCCTGGTTAGTAAGGGGCAGTTTCGTTACTTCAAACAGTAGCTATATTTGTTATTGCTTTCCCATAAGAATAAAAATGGTTTTATCACTTGAAACATTTGAAATAGAATAAACCAAAATGGACGCAGTGTTCAAGCTTGAATTCTGCTTTTAATCCCTCGCTGTGTCCGGTGTGTATGTTACGCTGATGTTTGGCTCTTATGTCTGCCTAACAAAATAATCCTCCTCCTGTCCTTGAAATGGAGCTGATTAAATCTTATTATCTGGCGCTACAGCTCAGGTAACCCTCTAGAAGTGAGCAATTGGATCTCAAAACAGTTTCAGTGTTACAGAAACACTCAGAGTATCAAGTCAGATTCTATTAAATCATGTTTCACTTAAATGTGATCAGCAGCTGTAACCACTTTCTGCTACACTTTAACTTCCAGCTGCCGTGCTGACTCGGCTTTCAAAAAAGCACAGTCTGAATCAGTAAAAACTGATGTTGACAAAAAGAGAAAACACAAAAAAATGCTCTGAAATCATTCTGGAAATTAACTTAATTTGGATATCTATTAGAATTGCTATAACTCATAAGGTCATTTGGCAATTTGGAAATAGTCTCAAAATGGTAACTTCTGTTTTTTCCACTACTTTATGAATACTGAAATCTTGTACACACATTTTAAGAGTTTGACAAACTTTCTCTCTTAGGACTAGAGAGGAAGCAGTCTTAGAAGGGCCGCGATTTTTGATTCTTGAGAATGGACAATCTTTGAAAATCATCAGCGCAGAAAAAGCTGACAGTGGGGAATACGTCTGCATGGCCAGCAACTCAGAGGGGAGGTCAGCTGTCACCGCTGTGCTGGATGTGAAAGGTATTTCAGCAACATGATTACTGTTTTCCTCGTGCGGGAGTAGTCGCAGTCACAAAGCCGAGGCAAACACAAATGAATCCCTCCATTGCTTGTCCTCCACTGCTTTAATTTATTCAGATCACATATAACCTTTGAGAGAAAAAAGAAAAAATATTCATTGTGTGGTGTAACCAATCAGGTTTTCAGTGCCTTAAGGGAGGAATGTCAGGTTGTCTACATGAAACCTGCACATTTTATACGCGGAAGGTACAAATTGTTGATGTTATAGTTAAAACTAAAGCTTCATTCAGTCATTTTCTAAAAGGTGCTTCTTATAGTCAAATTTGATATTTCAACATTTCCATTTAAATTGAATCTATAATGGGCTGTCATAGTTAAAAGGCAGCATAAACATGGATGCAGCATAAAATACTAAAAAGGCAGCTACCGATGGACAAATTAACTTGTGATTTAAGTCTTGACTTGAGCTTTAAAACCTTTTAAAAGTGTGAAGGAATTAAGATAAATCACTCTGTGAACATCAATTATTATCTCTTATTGTGTTTTGTCTCCAGATCCCACAAAAATAGTAGGCCCACCAGAGGATGTGCTGGTTGTCA